CTCTCGGAGCAGGGAGCGCTGGCCCGTCTCGTCCTGCAGTCGCCGGCAGCATTTCAATGGAAAGCAAAGGTGTAAACGTACTAGCAGAGGCAGCAAACGCCCTGGGTTCCTACGTTGCTGATGCTACTATTATTGTTGCAATTGCTCCTCCTCCAACAGAGCAATCCGGTGTGCACGCGAGCCTGGGCAGACGCCCTGCCACCTCCCCATCCTTCCTTCCACCCAATCCATCCATCCAGGGTCCAGAGGGCCCTACTGTGTGCCAGGTCCTGGGCTGGACACTGGGCACCTAGCTCACAGTCCACGGGGTCGGTCGGGAGCGCCTCCCTTCCTTCCTCCTGCCCTGGATGGGTGCGGCAGGTGAGGGATTTCACCGCCGAAAGGTCCAGAAAGCCCAAACCCATAATCCCGGCGAGAGGCGCAGCCGGAGGCGGCCGGATTTGGGCTGCTGGGAGCGCGCGTCTCCGAGGCCCCGGGGAGACTCCTCTGGTGCTCAGGTGGCTCCGCCGCCCTCTCCGCCGCTCCCCTTCCCGGACCCTCCCCTCTCCAGCAAGGGTCGAGTTTGGCTTCTGCGCGCGGGGAAGGAGGGGCTACGAGGGATTTGAAAGTGCACAGGCTGCGGAGTGGAGCTCGCATCTGTTCCCGCCGCCCGCGACCGGATTGAATTTCTGCAAATTCAAACTGAATGGGGCTTTCTTCTGCTGCCTTCCAGAGGGCGCCTACAGCCCGCCGCGCGCTGCTCTGGAGCGGGAGTGGCTGCCCGGCGCCCAGCTAGGAGCGAGCCAGCGAGCCGGACTCGAGCCCGTGCGGGCCAGCCCGTGGCTGCGGAGGCGCCCGGGATCGGGGACCCAGACACCAGGGCTCGGGGACCCAGGCACCGGACCGCGCCCCCCGCCACCCCTCCCCGGCCAGAGCTGCTCCCTGCGCCCACCCCCGGCGCGGGGACTGTCATCAGCCGCCCTGACGGGACCCGGGGCAGAGTCCAGTGTCCGGAAAGGAGCCCAGGCGACCCTCTAAAGAAGAACTTCTTGGGGGCGGTTCCCTGGGACCGGGTTGCCTGGGCGGCCGCTATTGTCTGCGCGCGGCGCTCGGCGGCGGCCCGGGGCGCGGGAGG